CGAATTTGAGAATGCAATTTACATAATCGCTATCTCCTTAAAATCTCTCTTACTGAAAGCGTTTCCTCACAATCATTTTCATGAAGGAGAGAAACCTTATGACACTTTGTCATAAGCATAATCATAAGATAATATCACAATTCGAACTATGAAGAGGGTGCATGTGTTCCTATCCATGCAAATTTGTCATAAGCATAATCGTAAGATAATGTTTGTGACAAATTCAAACTCTTATGGACAGAACTTGTTCATTCTTAATTTCTTGCCATCAAGGGTCCCACCATTGCTTCTAAGTTATTTAGCAGCTCACCTATGCCAGTCAATGTACTTTCATTGATCAAGGTGTTTGCCCTTATGCATTCAATTGAGAAGTCGTAGAACTCATATGCATAATCACTCAACTAGATTGGCACAGAAATAAAATTTTGTCAACACGATAGATTACAATCCTCAAGTCGTGTGCTAGTGTTTAATAGGTTTACTTCTTGATTTGTTCTTGAAACTTTTCAAGATATTTAGACTCCCACTGACCTCTTGACATATAAGATTCTCTTATCAAGAACCATTTCTTGACAAAACAAATATTCAAGAGTTAGTGTGTGTCTTTATCAAGACAAACCTACACACAATTTGGTATTAGTTGGTCTTTGTCTTATCCAAGACATCACAACTTACCAATTTCAAATGTGAAAGAGCAAGAAAACATTTTCCTACTTCACATTTGATGAGTGCGTTAAATTTCTTAAGATGATGTCACTCAAATCACAATTCTGGAGTACGACTCTAAAACTTGATTTTGGAACGAAGTATGATTCATCTTATTGACTTAACCCATTTTGACAATTCTCGACTCCTCTTCTTAGCCATACTAGTGCACTAAGGTGTCCTTAGAGGATGAATTGTAATATGGTTCTTAAGACGATCATAAACATGATAGAAAAGTACTCTCCCTTCTTCTTAGATTGGAGAAACTTTTATCTTTCTTGCCTAATTGATTCTTCTTATTCGTTCTGCCATTCATTGAAACTTTTCAATGATTCAGAATCATACTTAATCTTTTAAGTATAATCATATTTACTAATCTTTTAGCAAATCATAACGAACATTTTATCGTTCTTTGTGGTGGACTTGACTAGTGCACAACATTGTGTACCAGATCTCATTATCCTTCACATGACTCACATACTTATGTGAATAAGGAATTAGTCTCAATTTTCCAAATACGAAGGTTCTCATTTGATAAATTACTGACATTACCATAAATAACACAACTAAGAATCAAATCCATTCACAATATTGCTAACAATAGAACCATTCAAACACCAATTTTCATAAAATCCATCGTAAGGAAACATTAATAAGATAAATCAAAATTTATTTTATTGCGGAAAAATATTGTCCTTACAATGCGATTAAAAATGAAAACTATGTAAATATTACTTAGCAATCTATCCTAACTCTAAAGTAGTAGCTTAAATATCTGATCCTTGAATCATGCGATCGAAATCCATTTCTTCGCGATCAGACTCAGCTTTCTCCTTCCTTTAAGCTTTCTTTTCTTTCTTCGATCCTTCAAAACATCGAAATGTAATCTTATCACATCATGTATTAAGAATCTCCAAATAGGAACTTAATGGAGTTAGATAGTGGATTTTACCTAAAGCAGAGTCATACATCTTGACTCTCCCATCTCTTAGATCTCTCAGGTAGTCAGGGAAACTTCATAACCAATGCCCCTTCTTTTGTCAGTAGAAACACATTGATTCTTATGGAATGGTACACGGGACTATCTCATACTCAACCTTTCTCTTACGTAGAGAAAATTTTTCTGGACTTCCAATGTTGCCATTGCCCATAGAAGGTTGGGACAATGATTTATCAGACAAATTTTCTCGACCAGTGTGCAAAATCATTTCTGATTCAGCAGCAATAAGCAAATAAGTCAAATCAATGTGGGTCATGTCATGGTCCATCATATAGTACTCTCTAACGAACTTATCATATGATTCGGGAGTGACTGAAGAACCAAGTCAACGACCAAATTCCTTTAAACATCGACACGTAACAATCCCAATCTATCAATATGTAACCTTTTATCCAAGACATGAGCACATATAGACTTTCCATTTTCATGTCTTTTGCCAATAGGGCTTGAGTGGCCTTGAACTTTTCAAGTCTTCGAACACGTGGGTCGGGGAGAATTATTGGAGGAGCTGGAGGAAATGAAGCATGATTTCCATTTCCACAATACAATCGTGGAACATCATCTTCACGTGGAAAACTTTTTCCAACGGATTTAGGAAGACCATAGTTGTCAGACTTTGACATCAATGAAATGGGAGAAAATTCAAGTTTAGTTGATTGAGTCCTTAATAAAACACCCAAATGAGATATTAAGGCTAGGACCCAACACAATATCCTACAAATTGGAAGAGGGATGCCGTAATCCAACTCGCAGAACATTTGAAGGTAGGTAAATGACGATTTACCAATTTCCACCATGAAAAACGAAAAGAAGGTTAAGTTTTAAATGAATTGAAACTCCTAGATCCTTTGAGATTCATTGAAATTTTCAATGTCATGTTTAATGTCGATTATGCCCTTCATTTGTGACTGGGATGCCGAGGATCACAAATAAGGTGTGAATAACCATGCGAATGTACGTGGTGCCCTCAATGTTACAGTCACCTAATCGACGTGCCGGTTAACCACACACGCTCCATCGATCTATGACAAACATCAAGTCACCCTTTGCTACCAATGCCAAACCCAACTTAGTGTGCCGGTTAACCACACACGCTCCACTAATTGTCTCGACAAGGGTACAAAGTGTAATTCCATGGAATTGCATCGATTTCACTTTTCCTAAAGTAACCAAGATTGGGAATTTTGTAAAACATTTAGTTACTTTAACATTCATTATACTTTTAATGAGGAGAGGGATTGCCCTATCATACCCGTTCGGCTAACGACCCTCCACCAATCAAGGAAGCGGTGGGTGAGAGTGGACACCCATTAAACGACCATTATATAGGCCATAACCTTATACCCCCTTATAGATCAGCTTCGTGAATGAGGCCTACTAACGGTAAGACTAGCAGTTTAAGTTATACATATATAATATTAGACTTTTAATGTTATATATAGTATAGTGTGTATTTTACACTTTTAAAATACTAGGTGGTTTAATTTTATAAATTACACTTTTAATTAAATTAAATATAAACCATATCATTATGGATTTATTAACTCTCTTTTATTTATACCTTTAATTAACTTAATAAAACCATAAGGATGTAATTTGAACTTTTTCAAAACTAGGGTTTTAGAATTTAAAATTTCAAAAATTAAACTTTTAATCAAAATTTAAATTCCAAAACTTGAGGGCAAGTTTTGAAACATTTCAAAAATTACGGTTTAGAATTTAAATATTTCCAAATTAACCTTTTAATCAAAAATTTAAATTCCAAAACTTGAGGACAAATTTTGAAACCTTTCAAAATATTAGGGTTTAACTATTTAAATTACAAAACTAAAACTTTTAAAGTTCAAATTTAAACTATAAAACCTAAGGGGCGAAAATTGAAACTTTTCCAAACTTCATCAAGAACATTCTAGATCAACAATTCAAATAAGACAATTAACAATTAATTTGTGGTTATCTAATTTTGACCTAGTCCAATTACTTGCAATATAATTCACCAAATAACTTAAATAATTAAACATTATCTTATAAGGCAACAATTATTTGATTAAATGGCAATTATCTACTATTTTGGCAAGGATATTCACCCAAAATCAATAAAAATCGGATTTCACTAATTAAAAACGTTTATGGTAAGTATCCCAAGCCAAAACAGCAAGAAAATCGCGAAAATACGCTGCCAGACCATTTGAATCGTCGAGTGTGGCCTCGACTCGTCGAGTTCAGTCGACTCGGCGAGTTTACCATATGACTCGGCGAGTCAGCCAGTCAGAACCCAAAAAAATTCGATTTTTCAAGCAATAAACGATCAAATATGCATCAATTCATCAACAAACAGCCCTAGTCTCTGATACCACTGATGGGATTTGAGCACTACATCATACCTATGGTGTACATGCAAACCCTAAAGCTTTGGATCTAGTTTGTCTAATAAATATGCAATAATCATCCAAAGCCATAAACCCTAGATCTAGCATGTGATAATCAAATAACATATGAATTAGGGTTTAGATATTACCTTGATTGTTATGTAGCAATAACAATCTCAATTCCTTCTTGTAATTGGATTCTGAAAGCTTAGTGTCACAAGTGTCACACCATGGAGTCACAAACACCATAAGCAATAAGGATGAAGAAGGAGGAGAGAGAAGACACCAAAAACGTCTAGAAACCCTAAGGAATCAGTTAGCCACGTTTTTGGTGCCCTAGGGGTCCTTAAATAGGGAGGCTATTAGGGTTATCTAACAAGGAAACCCTAATTTGACTGCTTAGGCCCTAAGCAACCCATTGACTCCTCCTTTAGAAGCCTTGGACGAATTCTAATGGGTTTCCCCATAGATTTCGTCCACTCCATCCTCTATGGAGTCCATTAGCCCAATATCTAACTATCACACAGTTGACAGTTCTAGTCCCCTTTATTTAATTAATGTCTTTTAGCCACAAAATTAATTCTGATTAATTCTTGACTATTATTAATCAAGGTTGCAGAAAACACTAGACGTTAGCTAGGCGGTGGACTGGGGTCTAGGGATTAATCGGTTAGACGGGGATTAATCGGGGACCATTAATTATTAAAAAAATAATTCAAAAATTTATAAATCTAACTTTAATACTAAGAATATAAGTAAATAAGGATAAAAGTTTAATAATAACTTAATAAGTTTAACAAGTACAACCATTTATCATCCAAAATAAGCATAAAAGTTTAAGAATAAGTTTAACAAGCACACAAAATCATCATCCAACAAGTCCATGAAAATTTAATAATAAGTTTAACAAGCACAACATTTTTCTTCTAATATTCTCCACATACTTCCACTATTTGAGCCCCATCCGACTCATATTCATCTTCTTCTAACACTTGCTCCTCACTCTCGGACTCGAAATCTTCATTGAAAAGTTCCCTCGTTTTTGGACTTTCTTGGGGTGCTTGACTAACATCGGTTGCAAGAGCTTCATCAATTGTTATAAAAAAATCACATTAACACATTAAAATTGCTCACTCAAATCAACTGTCTAGCGTTTTCTGCATCCTCTAGTTTCTGTAACAAAAAATAAAAGATCAGAAAGGATTAATGGAAAACTGAAGGAGGGTAGAATTGTAATTTGGTGTTTACTATGAGAATGTTAATTATAAGACCTGGGACTTTTCCTGCAGCTTAGATACATGATCACCTTTCTCTTCTACAAGCTCTTCCATTCGATAAACCTATGAAATGCAAGTTAAATATTAACACACGCTTACTAATACTGTGTAAAAAGCACCACAATTAACTATTTTTTTGTTTAAACAGAAACAATTAATTATCATATAGATAAAAGCATTTTGAAAAGCAAAAACTCAAACCTCTTTCTGAAACGACCATAGTTTATATCTCTATCTCTACCCCTATCCACCTCTACATCTCTGTCATTACTATTTCTTCGAAAATTGTCACGTTTACGCCCAAAGTTTGACCTCCCACCTCTACTTTTGACTTCATTCACCTTAACAACTCCTCCATCAACAGTCTGAAACAGATCCATGGATTCAAAAGATTGAAAAAACTAAAGAAAGAAAGACATTAAGATATGACCAAATACAAATAACAAATACCCTGCACACACAAATACTTTCATTTCGTTTTTGTTATAACAGTAAACAAAATCAGGTTCCTACCTAAAAAATTAAACATTTTGCTGAAAAAATTAGAAGAATAGGGGCTAAATTACCAATGTAAGTGTAGGGTTTTCGCAAATTTTGATGAGAGTAGCGGAGATGAAAGTGTCGGTGAGTGTCGCGGTTAGATCGAGTCGATATAGGGTTAGAGTTTCGATGATGGGTTGTTAGAGGTAGTGAGAGCGGTGATGGTGCATAGGATTTACAGATCGATGAGGATGAGAACGAACATTCGCAGATTAAGAGGGTTGGTGTATGAGGGATTCTGGAGGAGCTGATGGCGTCGGAGGAGAAGGAGCGGATGTTCGGAGCAAACTAGTACCAATTTGAGTCGAGAATGAGACAACAAGCTTGGAAGGCAACGGCGTACCAGTGTGATTCGAAGAAAAGATGCAGGCATTTCATGGTTTTAGTTCATGAGTCTGAGAGAGAATTTTGTTGGCAGTATGAGATGGAATGAGAAAAGAAGGAACAAACCCTAGCAAGAAATGATTTCAATTTGACAATTTTGCCCTTAAAATGTCTTGAATTTTTGTTGACCGCCTTTGACCGATTAAGGCGCCAAGCTCCGCCTAGCTCCGACTAACTCCGATTAGCCCCGGCTTGGACTGACTTTGACCAACCCCGATTACATAGACCGACTTTGACCAACCCCGATTACATAGACCGATAAGCCGCCTAGGCCGATTTCTGCAACACTGTTATTAATTAAATAATATGATTTCTCTCTTAATATATTATTCATATAATATATTAATAAATCATAATTAATCTCTTTCTCCACAAATCATCCTATCAAGTTGCTTTGGTGAAGGCAACCCAAAAGGACCATGCTCGTAATCGGGTCAAGTACATACCAAAATAGTTATGGGCTTAGACACTAATCCAACAACACCAACAGTGATCCAGACCTTGATTGAAAAGCTGACAAATGAATCTAAGCATTCAGAAACTGAAGAAGAATGGTACCCAGACCAGCCAAGAGGAGTCAAAGAAATAAGTAACGCCCACATGGAATGCCAGATTTAAGAATTGAAAAAGGCTGTCCTTTTGTTGACAAAAAAAAGGCCTTGAAGCAAAAGTCAAGCCTTGCGGGATCTGCTGCAAAACCGGGCACCCAACTGATATGTGCCCACTACTTCAAGAAGACAATGAATCTGCTCAAGCTATGGGAGGATTTCAGCAAAGGCCATTTGATCAACATCGCAACAACCAAGCTTAGGGAGGACCTCAAAATAACAATTTCCAACCAAGGCCTCAACAGAACTTCCAGCAAAGGAACCAATACCAAGCTCCACCTGGATTTCAGCAACCTTTCCAGCAAAATCAGCACCAAAGCAACTTTCAGCAACCACATTTTCAGTCACAAGCTAGTTGTTCCAGCATGTCTTTGGAAGACATAGTTAAAAGTATTGCTACTAGTACCCAAGCCTTCCAGAATGAAACAAAGTCTAGCATCAAAAATCTGGAGCAGCAGGTATCACAACTCGCGAACTCCGTGAGCAAACTAGAAGCACAAAACCAAGGAAAATTCCCATCTCAGACTGAGAAAAACCCAAAGCACAATGCTTGTGCTGTCACCCTCAGAAGTGGTAAAAACTACAAAGGACCAGATCAGCAAAAAGATGAGGAAGAAGAGATCGTGGTTGAGCAAGAATCTGAGGCGACTAAAGAGGTGCAGAAAAAAGATAGACCTGCTGAAGCTGAGGTGAAAATTACTCCTCCTCCTTTTCCCTCAAGACTGAAAAACACGAAAAAAGAAAAGGAAGACAAAGATATTATGGATTTGTTCAGAAAGGTTGAGGTAAATATTCCCCTTCTTGATGCAATTAAACAACTACCCTGATATACTAAAATTTTTAAAGAGTTGTGTAATTCAAAAAGAAAATTAAAAGGAAACGAAACAGTTAAAGTAAACGAGAATGTTTCGGCTGTTTTATAGAAAATGCTACCCCTAAGTGTAAGGATCCAGGTGTATTTACTATTCCTTGCAAGTTGGGGAACCTTTCAGTGCCACGAGCTATGTTGGACTTAGGAGCTTCTATAAATGTTTTGCCATATTCACTTTTTAAAACTATCGGGGTAGGGCCTTTAAAAAGAACGAGAGTTATCATTCAGTTAGCTGATCGTTCTCAGGTGCACTCAAATGGTGTGCTGGAAGACGTTTTGGTTCATGTGAATGAACTTATATTCCCAGCTGATTTCTATGTTTTAGATATGGGAGATGACGACTCACCAAATTCAGGTTCCATTCTTTTTGGGAGACCATTTTTAAAAACTGCCAGAACCAAAATAGATGTTTATGATGGTACCCTTTCAATGGAATTTGATGGTAAACTTATCAACTTCAATATTTATGATGCCATGTGTTATCCTGATGATGTTTCAGCCCTTAATTTCATTGATGTAATTGAACCATTAACTGCAGAATACTTTGAGATTGCTAACCGTGAGTCAGTTGCTTTAGTGCTCCACATAAATTTGTCTATTAATGTAGCTAAGGTTTTATCAGAAAGTTATGAGGTTCACAGAAAAGTTCAAGAAATGGCAGCCCATATGGACCAACAGAGAAATTTGAGGTATGGTACCCAAACTCTTAAATTACCAGTTTCTAACTCCAAATTTTTTCCTTCTGTAGTGCAAGCTCCCATCTTGTAGATGAAGACACTTCCAGAGCACCTGAAATATGCATATCTTGGGGAAAACGAAACATTACCAGTTATCATATCCAACAAGTTCTCAGAAAAAGAAGAGTTGGAGCTGATCAGAATTTTGAAGGAGTATAAAAGCGCAATTGGGTGGACTATTACAGACATCAAAGGACTCAGCCCATCTCTATGCATGCATAAAATCTTGATGGAAGAAGATTATAAGCCATCACGGGAAGCCCAACGCAGATTAAACCCACCAATGATGGAGGTGGTTAAAAAAGAAGTTATGAAGTTATTGGATGCTGGGATGATATACCTATTATCTGACAGCAATTGGGTCAGCCGAGTTCAAGTTGTACCCAAGAAGGCTGGGGTGACAGTGGTAGAGAATATGGAAAGAGGGTTGGTTCCAACTCGGGTTCAGAATGGATGGCGCATTTGTATCGTTTACAGAAAATTAAACGCAGCCACTCGGAAAGATCATTTTCCTCTCCCATTCATAGATCAGATGCTAGAGAGGCTTGCTGGAAAATTCCATTACTGCTGTTTGGATGGATTTTCAGGTTTCCATCAGATTCCAGTTGCTCCAGAAGACCAGAAGAAAACAACCTTCACCTGCCCTTTCGGGACATACGCGTACAGGCGTATGCCCTTTGGACTCTGGAACGCACCCGCTACCTTTCAGAGGTGTATGGTTAGTATCTTTTTTGAGTATGTCGAGAATACCATAGAAGTCTTCATCTATGATTTTACTGTCTATGGAGACTCCTTTGATATTTGTTTGAAAAACCTCACAAAAATTTTACAAAGATGTATTGAAACAGACTTTGTCTTAAATTTTGAAAAATGTCACTTTATGGTTGACCAAGGTCTGATTCTTGGTCATATTGTTTCAAAAGGAGGTTTGGAAGTCGACAAAGCAAAAATAGATGTTATAAAAATCTTACCCTACCCAAAGAATGTTCGAGAAGTGCGTTCCTTTCTTGGCCATGCAAGTTTTTACAGGAGGTTTATAAAAGATTTTTCGAAGATATCAGTTCCCATGTGCCACTTGTTGCAAAAAGATGTTGAGTTTGACTTAATTGAAGACTGCAAGAAAGCTTTTAATGTGCTAAAAAATCTTCTTACTTCAGCCCCCATTATTCAGCCACCAGATTGGAGTTTACCATTCGAGATATGGTGTGACGCTAGTAACACTGCTGTTGGAGCTGTTTTAGGACAGAGAAAAGACCGGGTTCCCCACGTTATATACTACGCATCAAAAACTGTAACGCTCGTAGATCCGGGCTAGTCAATTTAGAGACGATAAGCATCAAAAAATGACTTTTTGATTGAAGAGTGTTTAGAATAAATAATCTTAACCAAGTTGTAGTATATGTCACAAGGTTTCCATACATATAAAGAACGCTGAAATCCGAGTTATAACGAAGAAGTTATGATCTGTCGAAGTTTCACAACAGATTCATCACGACACTTTAGGACGTAAATAGTGAATTTACGATAAAGTGATATCTAGCCTTAGTGATCTAAACGAAATTCGTAGAATACGTTAAACCGAGAGCGTGCATAAAAAGAACGTCTAAATCGTACTTCGTATGAGGAAGTTATGATTTTTCGAAGTTTCGACTTAGCGGTATGCAACCCAAAGTTCGAATATGAGATCGAGTGATTTCTAGCCGAAACAATCTAAACGAGAATCGAAGATCTCATCGATAGTAGTCCAACGGTAAAAAAGACAGACGAAAACGGACGTCAGATGAAGGAGTTGTGAATTCCTAACGGAGTTTTCCTGTCCCGGCCTACAAAAAATAATATAATTAAAGTTAAGGTCAAAATTAGCCAACGGAGTCTAAATGAGAGTTGTAGAGCCTAATCTCACCTACGCGTGCATATAAATAACGTCGAAAACGGAGCTTGTATGTGAAAGATATGAATTTCTGAAATTCGGGGCGTGAACCCAAACACTGTGTCAGAGTTCACGACGTAAACACAGTGTTCACGACGTGAACTCGGTATTAATGTCTTCTGGAGCCTGACAGACCGAAGTTGCTATGACGCACCTGATGAATACTGAACTTACGACGTGAATTTTGAGATTCACGACGTGAATCCAGAAAAATGGCCCTATAAATAGAAATCGAAGGGCAGCCGACCATAGCTGCTAATTCCTTCACTCTCTCACTCCCAATACCCTATCTAGCCCTCTTGAAGTACCC